TAGTTTCTCATGAAACAGTAGTACACATATTGTTTTATGACATTGATTAATAACCCTGCAACATGTCAACCCTCTAACTTCTCAACCTTTTTTTTTTGGTGAAAATACACATAGCTAAAGATACACCATTTCAAAAATTTCTACATGCACAGTTCAGTGACATTGACTATGCTCTTCTAATTGTGCTGCTATTCTTACTTAAGATGAAGGCTTACAGAACAAAATAGTTTCTAATTTAACAGTTACTACACATGTTGCCTTATGACAATGGTTAACAGTCTCACAACACATCAACAATATCCTTACTCAACCTTGGGTTCCCTGTCACCAGCTTCCTTGTCCCCTTCTGCCTTCTGGCCCTTGTCACTGGACCTCTGGACCTCAAAATTCCCCCTTTTGATCAGGATTCTTCTATAGACTCTTTGATCAAAATGTTTAGTAATGGTAGCTGGGCACCATCCAATTCTTCTGGTCTTATGGCAGAGGAGGCAGTTGTTCATGGAGGCAATTAGCCACACATTCCATATTCTCCTATTCCTGACTCTCCTTCCTCTATTGCTCCAGGTAAATAGAGACCAATTGTTGTGCCTTGGATGGCTGCTTGCAAGCTTTTAAGACCCCAGGCACTACACAATGCACTAGGAGGAAGAACAGAAGCACTAAACATGTTATTAGGCCAGTTAACTGGGATGTCCCATGAAACCATGGCCCTAAACCTCCAAACCAAAGAAGCAAATCCCATGCGGGGTTTGGTTTACATAAGCAGCCTCAGAAGCTACTCCTTTTTTTTTCTTTTGTCATTCTTGTAAATATATTTATCACAACTTCTGCCAATTCAGTTTTTTGCAGGTATATCTCTTGTTCATTTTATCACTGAACCAGCTCACTAGGTGAGGAACAGAATAGATGAGGGGAGTGAGTTGGATCTGATGCCAGCGGGGAGAAATATGCTCCTTTCTTCCTCATACTAGCTGGTCTTCAGTTCTTCAGGGAGGTCTCCCTAGCTCCAGGCCTGAACCTTTCAGTGCTGCAAAAGAAGACGCTAGGTGGGGATATGGAGCTTTTCTTCCACTGGGGCCTTCCTGTTTCCTTACTTGCTTGGCTCAGGAACCATGAGAGAGGGCGAGAGTAGCCTTTGCTCTAATTCTCAAACAGCAGTTTGCCTTCATTCTTACTCCTGGCGGTGCTCTTTGTCTTCTCCCATACCCAGATTCTCTGTTCCCTGATTTGGTCTCTGGCTGCTCACAGCTACTTTCCTTATTCCCTCCCCTTTACAGAGTGCTTCCTCTCCCCTCTCAGCTATATGAGTACCAAAACTCACTCCTTCAAGATAGAGACATTCTGTTTAAATAGATTGAGATATGACAAAAACTCCATAACCCTTTTAGGGTAGTTGCATATAAAGAAAAGAACTTAACATTCAAATGAATCGTAGAGAATTCAAGACCATTGACTTGTGGAAAAATAAGGTTCTATGTTATGTTTTAAAGTATCTGTTAGTCACTTACTTATTTTGCTTATAGAGTGACTTTTTAAAAGGTTTTTTTTCATTAAAATTTTAAGGCAACAATTGGAAAAAGAATAAAATACTGTGCTTTTAATAGAATGTTTATTCATTCCAATAATGGTTATTGATTGGAAGTCATCCTAGTAAGCAGCTCTTTTTTTTCCTAGTCTCTTTTTTTAATGAAAAAAATTTTAAATACATAGAAAAGAGAGAGGATAATATAACACCCTCCAAACCTAACAATCACCTGAATTTATTACATTTTATTTGCTGCATCTGTTTTTTTTTGTGTTGTTGTCGATAAAGTATTTCAAAGTATAGCATGGCATTTTACCCTTAAGTAATTGAGCATCTCTAAAATATAAGGATATTTTCAATACCATTCGTTCTTCTAACAAGATTAACAAGTTATTAAATATCATATTTCAATCCATCTATATTCAGATTTTTCCCAGCTGTCTCATAACTTACTGCATTTGGTTGCTATGTCTTTTTGTATGTGTGCATATTTTACTTAATTTTTTTGTTTTGCTTTTTTTTTTTTTCAAATAAGCTTTTTGTTTTGGAATAACTTTAAATGTATAGAAAAGCTATAAAGAGAGTAGAGAGAATTTCCTCTAATGTTAACTTTCACTAACTTTGCTATATTTGTCAAAACTGAGAGATTATCATTGGTACATTACTATTAACTGAACTTCAGACTTTATTTGATTTAACTAGTTTTTCCACTTTTTAAAAATAATAAAAACTCAAAGAAATTGAAACATAAGGTTTATTCTGAGCGGTTATTCTCTATGCATATGGGGAGATCATTCTGGTTCCAAAAAAGAGCAAATGGCTAGAAGTAGGCTGGTTACAGTGATGCTTATAAAGAGGAGGGAGAAGAATAGAAGATGAACCGTTGGCTAATCTTAACATGATTGATTGAACCCTGCCCTCCCCTTTTTACTGATATCAACTGATACCAGGTCACAAAGTGGTCTCTGGCCCTCTACCCACCTGTAGCCATGATAAAAAATCCAAAAAAACCAACCTGTTGCCCTCGTAGCTTTTGAAATTTAAATTAAGTAAGCCTGGTTTCGAACTGGAAAGAAAAGATTAGCGATTTTGGGTGAAAAAAGGCCGATGGCAGGATTAATTTTGGGTCAGTAATATTTTTATGGTTAATACTTGGTTTCTTGGGTAAGAAAAACCTTAAAATCAAAGTAAGATGTCTTATTGATTTTTCTCTTTGATATACTAATATCTTTTTGTTATAGGATCCAATCCAGGATCCACATTGTATTTAGTATATTCTGCTTTTTAAGTTAACATTATGTCATAATTTGTAAAAATACATAATCTTTATGGAGACTAGAGTCCTGACAACTAAATGTATCGCATAATCCTGAATTGAGATTCTGACTAGGGGGTGAAAAAAAAGACGTAAAGGAGGTTATTTGGACAGTTGGTAAAATTTGATTTAAGAAATGTAGATTAGATAATAGTATTGTATTAGTATTTCTGATTTCAATAATTGTTCTGTGGTTATGTAAGAGAATGTTCTTTTTAGGAAGTACATACTGAAGTATTTAGGGGTATAAAACAGTGTGATACCTACAATTTATTCTCAAAAGACTCAGAAAAATGTGTGCATGTTTGTGTGTGTGTGTGTGTGTGTGTGTGTGTGGAGAGAGAGAACCGTGTGTGACTGATAAAGCAAATAGGGCATAATGTTAACAATTAATGAATCTGGGCAAAGGGTATATGGGAATTCTTTGTACTATTCTTGCAGTTTTTCAGTAAGTTTGAAATTATGTCAGAATAAAGTTACAAAAAATAGTCTTTATAGCAGCCACTAATTTTTTTCTTTCTGAAATTTTCTAATGCATATTATCGAACACACAGACAAGGGAAAGACTAGTACAGTAAATACAATCATAAACATTTTGTCATATTTGCTTTATCTGTCTATATGAATACATACTTTTTTTCTAGACCATTTGAAAGGAAGTTGTAGACATCCGGCCACTTAACCCCTGGATACTTCAGCATGCATCACCTAAGAAAAGGAGTTTTTCCCTTCATAACTCTAATACCATTATCATATCTAGGAAAATTAACAGTGTTCTATAGAATCTAAAATGCAGTCCATATTCAAAATTTCTCAATTGTCCCAAAAACATCTCTTATTGCTGTTTTATTTCCAAGTGAAGATCCAGTCAAGATCAGTGCATTTGCGTTTGGCTGTTATAGCTCTTTGGGTCTTAATCTAGAACAGCCCCTTCACTTTTTTTTTGGCCGTTTGTTTTAAGTGACACATTAATGTTTTGAAGAGATCAGATGAGTATCTCCTAGAATGTCCCACATTTTAGATTGCTGTGATTTCCTCGTGTTGTCATTTAATGTGTTCTGAATTCCGGTAAATGAAGTTAATTGTAAAAGCTTGACTTGCTTTAGATTAAGTATTTTGGCAAGAATACTTCATAGGCAATGACTGTATAACATTCAATTGACAGAATGTCATAAATTAACCATTATTGTTGGACATTGAGTTTGCTGCCAGTTTTTTGCTATTTAAAGAATGTTTTGAAGGTTAATTTTTACATAAGACTTTTTTCTGAAGTTCAGTTCTTTAGACAAGATTCCCAGTCATGAAATTACTGGTTTAAAGGCAGAACATATATATGAATGGCTCTTGGTAGATTCAGTTGATTTCTAAATTAGTGATTTGGCGTGAAGGTACCCACCAAGTTTTAAAAAGTTGCCTCCAGTATTTTTGTTTTTCTTTTTTCAGGGGCTAAAAGAAGTGACACTCCTTGGTCAGAATGTTAATAGTTTTCGGGACAATTCAGAGGTCCAGTTCAACAATGCAGTGCCTACCAGCCTTAGCCGTGGCTTCACTACCAACTATAAAACCAAGCAAGGAGGGCTTCGTTTTGCTCACCTTCTGGATCAAGTCTCCAGAGTAGATCCTGAAATGAGGATCCGTTTCACCTCTCCCCATCCCAAGGACTTTCCTGATGAGGTGGGTGTTGACAATTAAGTGTGTAAAGGTGGTAGACTGATACTGTAGACATCCATCCACTTAACCCCTGGATACTTCAGCATGCGTCACCTAAGAAGAGGAGTTTTTCCCTTTATAACTCTAATACCATTATCATACCTAGGAAAATTAACTGTGGTCTATAGAATCTAAAATGCAGTCCATATTCAAAATTTCTCAGTTGTCCCGAAAACATCTCTTGTTGCTGTTTTATTTCCAAGTCAGTAGGGATGCAACCCAGTAGGGATGCAACAGAGACCTTGAATCCTACTCAGGGAGTCCTGTGTATTGCTGTATAGCCCTCTGAATCCACTAGCCCTTTGGAAAAATAAACTCCACCAAGGTGGGGGTGGAATAAGATAGATATTGAATGGGAAGTTAAGGTCACCTGTGGGACCATGAGGGCTGTGCAGAAAGCTTTTATTACAAGGTGGCAGCTGTGTGGTGGTGATAGTGGTGGTAATAGTGGTGCGGGGAGGACAGGAAGAATGGCAGTGTGAAGCCCAGATGTTGACTTTAGACTTGGGTTCAAATCCCAGCTCTTCCACTGTTTTACCAGTGTGACTTCATCAACTTGTCATCTTCATCTGTAAAATGGGGTGAATAATTACCTCCTGTTTAGGATTGTTGTGAAATAGATACCATGTATCCAAGACACTTAGCATAGTGTCTGATGTAGAGTAGGTACCCCACATGAGAAACCATTGTTTTGCAGGTTTTTTGTTTTGGTGAAGTGTCTGTTTAAGTCTTTTGCCCTCACTCTTAACCATTTCCCCTCTGGATTATTTGTCTTCTTATTGAGTTGTAAAAGTTCTTTATGTATTGTGGATACAAATCCTTTGTCAGATGTATGTTTTCAAATATTTTCTCCCAGTTTCAGTTTCTTGATGGTAACTTTTAAAAGAACAGAAGATTTTAATTTTGTTGAAGTCTTCGAAAATCTGAGACAATTATAAAGATTTTCTATGTTTATTCCAGAAGTTTTGTACTTTCAGCTTTTATGTTTAGGTCTAAGGTCCTTTTCAGTTTAATTTTTTATATGGTATGAGGTAGAGGTGGAGGGTCTTTTTTTTTCTCATATGATTACCCAGCACCATTTATTGAAAATATTATCCTTTTTGAATTGAATTTTGTTGGCATCTTTGGCATCAGTTGGCTCTGTATGTGTAGACCTATTTCTGGATTCTTCTGTTCCATTGGTCTGCATGTCAAACTGTACTTTAGTACTATACTGTTGATTTATGTGGTCTTGAAAACAGGTAGTATAAGTCCTCACACTTTGTTCTTTTTCAAGAGTATTTTGCCCAGTCTAGGTCCTTTGTATTTGCATATAAATTTTAGACTCAGCTTCTCAATTTTAACCAAAAAACCTGCTGGGATTTTGTCTGGGATTGTATGAATTCTGTAGATCAGTTTGGGGAGAATGGGCAATTTAACAGTGTTGAGTTTTTTAATACATGAACGTGATTTATCTCTACATTTATTTAGATCTTTTAAAATTTCTTTCAGTAATGTTTTGTAGTTTTCAATGTGGAGGTTTTGCACATCTTCTGTTAAATTTATTCATAAGTATTTTATGTTTTTTAATGTTATTGTCAGTGGGATTTTTCTTAAGATGGTGGGAGCTAGTACTGTCTCTTGACCCAAGCATTATTGAAACTTTACATTTCAATTTCCAAATATCTTATAAATAAAATTTGCCTTAATTTTTTAATTAATTAAACAATGTGTACAGATATATATATATATTCACCAAACACACACAAAGTCCCTGTAGATTAGAAGCAAAGTGGCAGGCTGTACACCTATTTATTAAAAAAAAGTAGGATTTTAAAGAAAAATAGGAAAAATTACACCACAGTTAAATAAGAATTTGAATAAAAATTTTAAATGTGGCCAGAACAGGCATTCTGGCTTTGTTAGGTAGTTACTAGTAGAATACAGAAGGTTATTGACAAAATCAGGGACAAATTCTAGATTTTTTTCTAGACTTCTCATCTTACTATTATATTTAGAACCTCCTATCCTATTTGGGATTTCTAGAAAGAAAAATAGCCAGTTTCCAAGTTGTATAAGCTTCAGGAGAAAGGAATTATCATTCATATTTGGACTTTCCAGCATCTTAGTGTAGTCCTTACACTTAATAGATGCTCTTTAAGTGTTTGGTGAATGAATGATAAAGCACTTGTTAGTTAGCTTGTAAGTTAGATAAACAAAAAGCCATTTTTACCCTTTAGCTTGCTGACCCTTGTATCAGTGCTGTCTGTAAACAGACCCATGTCTTGAATTTAACTTGAAGTTGGCTTGTTTTCTTCTCTCCATTCTTATAAAGCAAAGATGTCATCAGCTGAAATATCTGGGACAGACAGAATGGGGCTTGAGCAAAAGTAAGGGTTCTGAGTAATTCACGTGTTTGGTTAAATCAGCTTCTTAATTATTTGAAAATTAATGTTGATGAGAAATGGTGGGGGTTTCATTTGTTTCTGCAAGATTCTTTGGTGAGACTTTGATGACCCATAATGTGTTCTATTTGATCAGGTTCTGCAGCTGATTCATGAGAGAGACAACATCTGTAAGCAGATCCATCTGCCAGCCCAGAGTGGAAGCAGCCGTGTATTGGAGGCCATGCACAGGGGGTCAGGCTTGCTTGGGGAGAAGGGAATACCACACCTTTCCATGTTTCCTTAATGACCAAATGCTATCTGTATTGCTAGGCACCTAGCACAGAGTGTGGCGCATAGTAGCTGCTCAATACAATAAATATTTTGATATTGGACATTGGACCCACAGACATTGGAACTTGCTTCTGCTCACTTCATAAGCATAGACCAAAGACTGGATCATGCATTTCATTTGTTTACCATGTTTTTTCCCCTAAGCCTAAGCACCTACTGTGTGGCACACTGTGAGATTTTAATCTTCTAATTTTTAACATTAAAATTTTTTATGTCTCAGAATGTAAATATAGCTATACATGTGTTTACTTACTTTGGGAATAATAAGAATTGCAGAGATAATGACTGAAAAGAGAATGTGACCCATAGCAAGCTGTATGGAACTAGTGGTTTGCTTTGTTTTCTGTATTTGTGGACAAAGAGTTTTAGAGATCCTCTTAAATGTTTAATCTGTCTTGATTCATTAATTAAATAAAAAAGGCAGTTTAAAATAATTTATGTACTTGGACTAAAAATTCATAGGCCCTAGATTAGATTACAGTATAGAGTTTGGATTAAAAGAGCTCTTTTGACCAGATACTTTTAGCACTGATTTAAAGAAGTTTACATAGGCCTTTTCTTTTTGTTGTTTATTGCAGATATTCAAGAGAAGCATATGTGGAGTTGATTCACCATATCAGGGAATCTATTCCAGGTGCATTTAAGAAACATATTCTCTGATCAAAAGGGGTAAAATGTAGAACAGAATTTAAAATTCTTATGAAATCCAGGCTTTATGAAACTATTGCCCTGAGATAATCTTTAAACCTTAAACCAAAAATATCCTCTGAAGTATTCTTTAAATCAGACAATTGTTGTTGTTGTTAGGTGCCGTCGAGTTGGTTCTGACTCATAATGACCCTATGTACAACAGAATGAAACCCTGCCCGGTTCTGTGCCATCCTCACAATCATTGCTGTGTTTGAGCCCATTGTTGCAGCCACTGTATCAGTCCATCTCATTGAGGGTCTTTCTCTTTTTTGCTGACCCTCTACTTTATGAAGCATGATGTCCTTCTCCAGGGACTGGTCCCTCCTAATAACATGTCCAAAAAATATGAGATGAAGTCTTGCCATTCTTGCTTCTAAGGAGCATTCTGGCTGTATTTCTTCAAAGACAGATTTGTTTGTTCTTTTGGCAGCCCATGGTATGTTAAATATTCTTCGCCAGCACCATAATTCAAAGGCATCAGTTCTTCTTCAGGCTTCCTTACTCATGGTCCAGCTTTCACATGCAGATGAGGTGATTGAAAACACCATGGCTTGGGTCACATGTGCCTTAGTTGTTAAAGTGACATGTTTGCTTTTCAACACTTTAAAAAGGTCTTTTGCAGCAGATTTGCCCGATGCAATATGTTGTTTGATTTCTTGACTGCTGCTTCCATGAGCGCTGATTGCAGATCCAAGTAAAATGAAATCCTTGACAACTTCAGTCTTTTCTCCATTTATCATGATGTTGCTTATTTGCTCAGTTATGAGAATTTTTGTTTTGTTTATGTTGAGATATAATCCATACTAAAGGCTATAGTCTTTGATCTTCACCAGTAAGTGCTTCAAGTCCTCTTCGCTTTCAGCAAGCAAAGTTGTGTCATCTGTATATCGCAGGTTGTTAATGAGTCTTCCTCCAATCCTGATGCCCCTTTCTTCATATATTCCAGGTTCTTGGATTACTTGCTTAGCATACAGATTGGATAAGTATGGTGAAAGGATACAACCCTGACACACACTTTTCCTGACTTTAATCCGCGTAGTATCCACTTGTTCTGTTCTAATCACTGCTTCTTGGTCTGTGTACAGGTTCCTCATAAACACAATTAAGTGTTCTGGAATTCCCATTCTTCACAATGTTATCCATAATTTGTTATGATGCACACAGTTGAGTGCCTTTCCATAGTCAATAAAACACAGGTAAACATCTTTTTGGTATTCTCTGCTTTCAGCCAGGATCCATCTGACATCAACAATAATATCCCTTGTTCCACATCCTCTTCTGAATCCAGCTTGAATTTCTGACAGTTCCTTGTCGATGTACTGCTGCAACCACTTTTGAATGATCTTCAGCAAAATTTTACTTGTGTGTGATATTAATGATAATTGTTAGATGATCTCCGCATTCTGTTGGATCACTTTTTTTTGGAATAGGAATAAATATGGATCTCTTCCAGTTGATTGGTCAGGTGGCTGTCTTCCAAATTTCTTGGCATAGACGAGTGAGCACTTCAGTGCTGCATCCATTTGTTGAAACATCTCAACTGGTATTCCATCAATTCCCGGAGCCTTGTTTTTTGCCAGTGCCTTCAGTGCAGCTTGGACTTCTTCCTTCATTACCATCGGTTCTTGATCATATGCTACTTCCTGAAATGATTGAATATCTACCAGTTCTTTTTGGTACAGTGCCTCTGTGTATTCCTTCCATCTTCTTTTCGATGCTTCCTGCATCATTCAATATTTTGCCCATAGAAGCCTTCAAAATTACAACTAATGGCTTGGAGTTTTTCTTCAGTTCTTTCAGCTTGAGAAATAGCAAGTGTGTTCTTCCCTTTTAGTTTTCTAATTGCGGATCTTTTCACATGTCATTGTAATACTTTGTCTTCTAGAGCTGCCCTTCGAAATCCTCTGTTCAGCGCTTTTACTTCATCATTTCTTCTGTTTGCTTTAGCTACTTGACTTTCAAGAGCAAGTTTCACAGTCTTTTCTGACATCCATTTTGGTCTTTTCTTTCCTGTCTTTTTAATAACCTCTTGTTTGCTTCATGTATAATGTCCTTAATGTCATTCCACAACTCATCTGGTCTTCGGTCGTTAGTGTTCAGTGCGTCAAATCTGTTCTTGAGATGGTCTCTAAATTCAGGTGGGAAACCAAACAATACTTTAGCTTAGTTAGTAAAGACTGTCTGCCTTGAGCATTGTGCACTTTTAAGAACTATCTGTATGGGATCAAATTGCCGACAAGAACTATAAAGATTAAATAGGAAGTTTAGGAGGCAGTGAGTTTATGCTAATGGCAGAGGAACAATTCAGAAAAGGAGAGTGAGAATGATTGCACAACTTGAAGAATGTAATCAGTGTCACTGAATTATACATGTAGAAACTGTTGAACTGGTGAATGTTCTGCTGTGTATATTCTCAATAACAACAACTAAAACTGAAATAAGTGTAAAAAAATGAAAAAGAAACATTCTGCTGAATGAGCTTGCTTCTCCATCAGTAACGACAATCTTCTTGGTCAGATACAGGTACCCACCAATGCCTGTGATAGTTCTTGCAGCACCATTTTACATTTCTTTTGCTCCTCTTCAGTTCTCTCTTTCTCCTGCTCTTTCTTTATAGCTTCGTGATTTTGTTTATATCTTGGTCCTGCTAGAAATACTCAAAGGTGTGGCTCACCTTATGGCCTCAAAGTTAAAGAGATTCATTTTCTATACTCTGTGTTTCTGAACTTGTGGGAGTGACCTTATTCCTTCTTGTAAGCTGGCAAAGTTATGGTCTAAATTAGTTCTGATTTGGTGGCAGTTGTTATCTTTTAAAACACGTGCTTTTTCTAACTAGCTTTTTGACAACTCATTACTGTAAATTTTAGAGATTATTTCCTTGTTATCTTAACCTTTATTTACTCCCCCCCTTTTTTTTGCATGACCTCTAATACGTGGCTGCTTCTGCTCTGACTGGCAGATGGATCTGTTTCTCTTTTTTCTTCCTCCTAATAAAATTACTCTGTAATCTTGGTTTAGATTTGGTTAACAGTATCTACATTCCCTTTGGAATTTCTAATTATTTTCACTTGTGTATGCACAAATGCTTTCATTTTGAGAGGGCAGTATGGTGTGGACGCTAGGTACACTGGCTTCAGGTCAGGCTCCAGTATTATAGGCTGTGTGACCACAGATAAGACACTTCACTTCTCTGGGCCTTGGTTTCCTCAGCTATAAAATGGAGTTAATAACACTTACTTCATCGGATTGTTGGAATAATTAAATAGATTAAATTAAATAGTAAATTCTGGCACACAGTAAGTATTCGGGGCCCTGGTGGCACAGTGGTTAAGAGCTTGGCTGCTAACCAAAGGTTGACAGTTCAAATCCATCAGCCGCTCCTTGGAAACCCTATGGGGCAGTTCTACTCTGTACTATAGGGTTGCTATAGGGTCACTATGAGTTGGAATCGGTTAGACGGCTACGGCTTTTTCAGTAAGTATTCAGTAGGTGATAGTTATTACTTACTGCCTTAAATAAAAAATATGTCAAATGAATGTCAAAGGTATATTTTTGTATGAGACACTGCAAGGTTTTCACTAGTAAAAACAGAATCAATTTGAAAATGTGGTCTCTTTGTGTCCTTAAATCCAGCATTTGAAATGAAAATACTTTTCTTGTACCAAGGGGAACATTGACTGAGAAGCCAGGCTCTGACGTGGGAACATTGTGGATAGGCAGGCCTATCCCCCCTTGAGCTGTAAATCCCCTCTCGCTCTGTAGTGACTATTCTGTTTTACTTGCACACATGCTGAATAGCTCCAGGGAAAGCATTACAATCGATTTTCCTCGTCTGTAATCCACAAATACCAAAGGCCTCTGTTGAAGGTAAGTAGCAGCAACTTATTATTCTTTATTATGTGTGGCAGGTGTGAGCCTCAGCAGCGATTTCATTGCTGGCTTTTGTGGTGAGACTGAGGAAGATCACCTCCAGACAGTGTCTTTACTTCGGGAAGTTCAGTACAACATGGGCTTCCTCTTTGCCTACAGCATGAGACAGGTGAGCCCTGGGGTGGAGGAGCTATGTCTCCCTTGGGACTGACATCATTCCTGAGCAGTGTTGGGTTCATTATAGACAACTGGGCAGAAAAGAAAGTGGCAGCAGGACAGTCCGTGAGGAGCCTCAAGGATTTTACTCTTCACTTCTTTCTTGTTTTCTAACCAACTGTGTCTGCTCTTTGACACAGTTCAACAATTTGAGATGAAAAAAGATTACTTGTGCCAATATTTCCCTTCTTTAGAATATTTTGAATTAAGTTTAGGTTGTTTAGAATTTGGATTTAGAGGGAGGGAGACTATTCTTTACAAGACACTTAACTTGACATGCAGAACTTTTTAACAGATGTGATTTCTTTTACAGAGGCCTCTTGTCAGCCCCTAGCCATCCTTCCAGCCATACAACTTTCCGTTTTCCTTGGCCAAGTGAACCCACTGTTACTCACTTTGGAGTTTTCCTTATAACACAGATGGCCAGGAAAACGAAGCAGAAGGTGATTAGGAGAGAGAGGGAGAATAATGCATTATTTCCTACAGAGAGGGGATAGTCTCGGTCTGCTGCCATTTTCTTGGTGGTAAGGATGGATTTGCATGTGTCACTCTTCATTCTCCGAGTCACCTTGAGGACAGCATGCCTTGTGTTTGGACTGTAGGTTGAGGAGCCCGTCTGGCCATGGGGTTTAGGAAAACTGACTGACAAAGACTGAACCCATGATACTAGCCTCAGCGTCACTGAGCTGCCGTTAACCAAGCTAATTCATTTCTTTTAAAGCCCACTGCCTAGTGTTGTATAGGCATGTAAGCAGGCCAATGTGTAGGTTCATGTCTCTTTCACAGAATTATTTTAGGGATGAAGGTTCAGAGGAGCTGTTGGTTTACTGTTTACTTTTTCCACAGATGTCCCAAATATGCAATAAAAATTCTTTATAATGCTGGGGTTGGGAGATGGGTTTTCATTGTGTGGTGGAAGCATATTCTATGAGCACTGAATGTGAGTATTCACTTTGAGATCTAATTCCTAATTCTAGATTAAGATTTTAGAGACTTAATCAAGTAGCATAGTGAGTAAGAGCAAAGCCTCAAATTGTGGCTTTACCCCATATTAGCTATGCAACCTTCCACAAAGTCCTTGGTTTTCTCGTCTGTGAAATTGGAATAATGCTAGCACCAACTTCATGGGGTTGTTTTGAGGATTAAATAAAATAATATGTATAAGGCACTTAGAATGGTACCTTGCACATAGTAAGTACACAGTAGAGGTATTGTTCTTGTTGTTGTTTATAATGAGACAGAGTGGAGTAAACGCTGCAGACGTTTTAGAATTCTTCACCCATACTCCATTTTCCTCTGGACTTGGTAGTTCTCTCAAAGGCATATTGGTTTGAATGTCCATACTTCTGTGTATAGACTTTCCTTTTAATGGACAGTTTTGTCTAGGTCAGTGATTCTCCAGCTGTAGTGAACATGAGCACGTGTACATAACAGCATATAAATGTATACACACTGTGGTTTTGGGTGATTTAAGGGATTTACGAGAATAAATTTCCTTTTTCTTTTTTGACTGGGTAATACATGTTCAGGATATAAAATTCAAAAGGTCAAAATTGTACATATGAGACATAGTTCTTCCTTTTCATGTTTCTACTTTTTCAGTTCCTTTCCTGAAGGCAGATGCTCTTAACAATTTTTGTATAACCTTCCGAAGATATTTCATGTATTTATAAACATACTTATTCTTTCTACACCAAAGGTATCATTTTATACATGTTGATCTGTACCTTATTTATTTCTGTTAGTAGTATATTTTGGAGAGCAATCCATGTCAGTATGTATAGTTACCTCATTCTTTTTAACAGCTGCCTAGTATTCCATTGTATAGATAAACCATAATTTACTAGTTACCTGTTGATAGACATTTAAAATGTTTTGCATTTTACATCTTTATAAACAGTGCTGCAATGAGTAACCTAGTACATGAGCCATTTAGCATACATACAAATGTAATCTTATGATGATAAATATCAAGAGTAATTTTGAGACTTTGATTTTCATTTCATGTGCTAAATTTAAAATCTAACCTTTGTAAAAATGTGACGTCACTCTACTATAGAGAGTTATAGTTTTCTCTTGGGATGCTTCCGGAGTCAGAGAACACTCTTGGCATTGCTTGGATCTCTGTACATGTGCCTGTAATTTGCAGGTGGAATGAACATGGTCCCCCTCTGTGTCTCAAGAATGGTTTCTACAAGTCTTTGGTGACCTCCATTTTTTTTTTTTTTTAAAATAGAAGACACGGGCGTATCACAGGCTGCAGGATGATGTCCCGGGAGAGGTAAAAATAAGACGTTTGGAGGAACTCATCACTGTCTTCCGAGAAGAAGCAACAACAGCCAACAAAACCTCTGTGGGCTGTGCCCAGCTGGTGCTGGTGGAGGGGGTAAGGCCATATGCATTATACATATTTTTTGTTTTTTAGGATAAAGTATGTCTTTCCATTTATTTAGATCTTTGATTTCTTTTATCAGACTTTTTTAGTTTTCAGCATACAAGTCCTGTGCTTGTTTTGTTAGGTTTCCAAAACAAAAACAAAAACAAAACCTGTTGCCAGCAAGTTGATTCCGACTCATAGCGACCCTAAGTATTTCATTTTTTTAAGTGACTGTAAATGGTATTGTACTTTAAAATTCAGTGTCCACGTGTTCATTACTCAGATAGAAATACTGTTAATTTTTGTATGTTTATCTTGTATCCTGAGACCTTGCCGAGCTCGCTTAATAGTTCTAGGAGTTTTTTTAAACAGTTTCCTTGTGATTTTCTACGTGGGAAGTCTCCAGGGGTGAAGGGAGATGCACCTGATTTTATTCATTTCCTGTTCTTGTAGGTGGGAGACTGTCCCAGTGTGTTAAGAGTTCTGTTGGGAGAATGAGTATCCTGTGTTGTGACTTTTCCTCCTGTTACTCCTGGTGTAGAGAGAAGTTCATATCTTTTCGTCTGTATCTTTGGTCAGTTCAGTACTGGCCAGTGGGTGTTGACCTCTGTCTCCTTCATGCAGCCCAGAGCTGGTTCTGACACAGGCTTTACCTAGGTATAGGAGAAACTTGTGCTTACTAGAGAGCTGCAGAGTGGAGGATCTTATTCAATCTTAATCTGACGTATGTTTCTCTGATTAGTATTTTAAGGACTGCACTGCTTTCTGTGTCTTTGATTATTTAATAATAACAGCATATAGTTGGAGCTTAATTTTCTAAAGGTAAATTATGTGCCCTGTGATGGTTAAGATTGTGTGTCAACTTGGCTGGGCCATGATTCTCTGTGTTTTAATGTAATCACTCCCATGATTGAATATACTGTGAGTAGCCAATCAGATGAAAGGGAGCTTCCTTGGGGGTGTGGCTGGCATCTGTATATAAGCAGATGTTCTGGCTTTTTGCTCTCTCTGGATCCTGCGGCTGCTTCCTGTTGTCTCATCTCCCGTTCTTGGGACTTGAGCTGTCAGCTTATCTGCCGAACCTGGGATTCGTCGATCTGCACAGCCTGTGAGTGGGAGCCCTGCTCTCCGACCTTCTGATCTTGGGCTTGCCAGCTTCTGCAGCTGTGTGACTTAGGAGAGGCCTCTAACCTGATCCATGGACATGGGACGTTCTAGCCTGTACAATCGCGTGAGCTGTTTCCTTGATATAATCTCTCTCTCTGTATATACTTATACACCTTACTGGTTTTGCTTCTCTAGAGAACCCAGCCTAAGACATGCCCTTTGGATTGTCTTTGGTCAGTTGTTTTAACTCCAGACAAGGCACTCAACATGTATAATGTAAGACTCTTGCAACAGTGTACTTCTGTTTTTCCCCCATTACTTTTTTTTTAAATTGCCAGATTGAATTTTAGTGTTACTCAAACATTAAAAATTAAAAAATGCGGCTATGGGTATACAGTGCAAAGTCACAAGGTTTTTTTTTAATCTAGCGTCAGTTCTGATTTAGAACTAGTGATGTGTAAGATTTAAAAGTAACTGAGTATTATAAATGTTATGATTCTATGTGCTGTATAAGAAAATTTCTATTACAGAATTCTGAAAATATTAAAATAACATTTTCTCAGGTACCAGCAAAGAAGGAGGAGATTTTTTAATTTGAGGGTGGAATAGGACTGGGGGAGCTGATGGGAGAAACTGAAATTCATCCGCTGTCACACTCTTTGGTCAAAAGTTAAGCAATTTGAGAAGACAATCTGTATTGTTCTACTGCTGGAGAGAGCATGATTCTTAAGTAGGTTTTCCCAACATTTTCCGCAAGCCCTAAAATTCACTCAAGAGAAAGAGATCAACTTAAATGTATAAAAAGATGGAAAAAAACATCAGTCCATCCATACAGCTCCTATTCAGGAGTATTCAATGGCAGTGTGCTGATACTCTCTCCCAATTTGGTGACCATGGCGTCGTACACCTACAGCTGGTTGCCGTGGCACTCGGGCCCACACTTGCTGGAGTTAACACTTGGAGCAGGGGTAGAAGCAGCCCAGGCAGCTCTTCTCTAGGCAGTCACACAGATCCATGTCATTGCAAATTAGCCTGCCACTTTTGTCATATTTTCTCATAACCTTGCATTTCACAGAACAATACTCATTCTTCTTTGACATACAGCTTTCTTTTTCTGCTGCTTGTTTTAGGATTGAAGTCTTCTTTCTACCTGTGGTCCAGGGTTTTGAAATGCCAAACATTTTAACTGCTGCTCTATTTGTTGCACTTGTATCTGTCCAATTTGACAGGAAAACGTTGATCTGTGTGTTAAGTGGAATTTTTTTTCAGATAGTTCACTCATTACCGATCATGGTCCAGGCTCATCTCTAGGCTCAGCTGGGCCCCAGCCCTTATCTGTTGTGCTGTTACCATAGATTTTTACTTCTGCATCCCAAAATACATTGTTTTGTATACCAGTTATATATATTATTGTTCTATATATATATTATTTACTGTTTCTGACATTCTTCATTCCTTTGTGTACATTCAAGTTTCCATCTGGTATCGTTTTCTTTGTGCTTGAAAAAACTTCCTTATCATTTCTTGTAATGCAGGTCTTTTAGTAATGAATCCACCTAGCTTTTGTTTGTCTGAAAAGGTCTGTATTTCACCTTCATTTTTAAAAACAAATTTCCCTGGGTATCAAATTCTAGGTTGACACTTAAAGATTTCATTTCACTGTCTTCTGATTTACATAGTTCTGATGAGAAATCTGAGGTCATTCTTATCTTTTTTTCTCTGTACATAAAATGCCTTTTTTTTTCTTTATGCGTTTAAGATTCTTGCTTTATCACTTAGGAATTTGATGTGTCTTGGCATGGTTTTCTTTGTGTTTACCTCTTTGTATTTTCTTTGGGGTTTGGTGAGGCTTCTTAGTTTGTGGGTTTATCAAATTTGGAAAATTTTATCTGTTGCTTCTTTAGGTATTTTTTCTGTACTCCCTTTCTCACCCCTTTTTGCATCTCTTTCTGTCTCTCCAATTACATGTTTGTTCACCTACTTGATATTGTTCCATGGGTTACTGAGAGTGTTCTTTTTTTCTCCTGTCTTTTATTTAGTTTCTGTACTTCACTTTGCATAGTTTCTTTTGCTGTGTCTTCAAGTTCCTTGTTATTTTCTTTGGCAGTGTCTAACCTGCTGTTACACTGAATTTTTAATTTTTTTTTTTAAATATTTTTGTTTTTGGTGAAGATTTATACAGTAGTTTAGGTTCTCATTCAACAATTTCTACACAAGTTGTTCACTAACATTGGTTATGTTCTTCACAATGCATGACCATTCTCATTATTTCCGTTCTGGATGTTCCGTTTGCATTAATCTGGTTTCCCTGCCCCCTGTTACCATTGAATTTTATGTTTTAGATATGTTCTTATCTGTAAGTTACATTGGTTCTTGTATGTCTTCCACTTCTCTTCTATGTCTTTCATTTCTTACTATTTTCTTTAAATATTTCTTTAAATAGTTGTAATAGTTGTTTCTAATGTCTTTGTGTGCTGTTTCCAGCATTGCTTTCATTTCTCGATCTGTTTCTGTTGACTGATTTTTTCCTGATTATGGATCACATTTTCCTGTTTCTTGGTATACTAGTAATTTTTTATTGGATAATGGACGTTGTGAAGTTCATTTTTGTGTGTCTGGATTTTGCATTGGGCTTTGTTCTGACAGGCAGTTGAGTTACTTGTTGCTCAGTAAGTTTTTAAGCTTTGTTATGCTAGGAATAATTTTGCCTCACTACTAATGTGTGGCCCTTCCGAACTGTATGAACTCAGGGAACTGTTCAGCTGACAGCTCCTGGGTCAGTGTCTTTGCCTGACCTAGAGTTTCACTCTACACATGCATGTGTTAGTATTCAGCCGACTCAAGGGGACTGTCTTAGTTATCTAGTACTGCTATAACAAATGCCATGAGTGGGTGACTTTAATGAACAGAAATTTATTTTTTCACGGCTTAGGAGGCTAGAAGTCCAAATTCAGGGCATGGGCCCTAGGGAAAGGCTTTCTCTGTCAGCTCTGGGGAAGGTCCATGTCTCTTTTCAGCTTCTGTTCCTTTGTTCCTTGGTGTGGCATCTGTCTTGCCCCATCCATTGGTTCTTCCTTGCTTCTGTGCCTAATCTGCTCTTTTCTTATGTCTTGGAAGTGATTGGCTTAAGACACACCCTACACTGATATGGCCTCATTAACATAACAAAGAAAAACTTGCCAAATGGGATTATATCCACAGATATAAACCAAAAAACCAAACCCTTTGCTATCGAGTTGATTCCAACTCATAGTGACCCTATAGGACAGAGTAGATCTGCTGCGTAGGTTTTCCAAGGTTGTAATCTTTATGAAAGCAGACTGCTATATCTTTCCCGTATAGCGGCTGGTGGGTTTGAACTGCCTACCTTTCGGTTAGCAGCGGAGTGCTTAACCACTGTGCCACCAGGGTTCCTTTCCACAGGTATAAAACCAAAACCCAAACCAAACCCATTGCCGTTGAGTCGATTCCAACTCATAGTGACCCTGTAGGACAGAGTAGAACTGCCCCAAAGGGTTATAGGGGTTATATATTTTTTGGGGGACACAATTTGGTCCATAACAGGGACCCTTAATGTGTATTTTTTGGAGCTGTTTTTTTTCTTGCTTAGCTCTTTCCTCTCTCGAACTCTGCTCCACAATTTCTTGCTGTCTCAGACTTCCTGAATTCTGATCCCTGTCTCCTCAATTCACAGAAAACTGCCATGCTCTGCCTGAGATACCTCTCCCTGCTGTGTATGTTTGTATCTGGTATGTGCCTTCTGGCAGAAAACACAGGCATTTGGATGACTCACATCATTTGTGTTCCTTCTCTCAAGGAATCATGGTCTTGCACAGTCTCTTGTCCAATGTCTGAAAATTGTTGTTTCATGTATTTTGTCCAGTTTCCTGGTTATTTAAGATGGGTGGGTAAGTTTGGTTCTTGTCACTCCATCATGAGAATATACATGAGAAAGCCTCTTTCCTGGTCATTTAAGACTGGCGGGTAAGTTTGGTTCTTGTCACTCCATCATGAGAATATACATGAGAAAGCCTCATATATATTCTAGAAATTAATCCCATCACCTCCTGCTATAACACCCTTGTAAATTTCCCCCATATTGAAAGAAGATTGATCTATGTGATCAGTAGAGTATTGTAGAAGTGATGATACGGGCTTCTCCATAGGGCTGCCTGAGGGTCCTGACACAGCAGCTGGTTTCCCTGAGAGTGAGTGGTTCAAGAGGGGGAAAAGGAGAGAGGGAGAAAGCCTCATATATATTCTAGAAATTAATCCCATCATGGTGGTTTTATTGTCTTCTTGGCCCTGTCTTCTACCAGTTGTGTTGGCTTTGAGTCTGCCTGTTTAGTAGGGGCAGTTTACCTAGGCCAGATAACCCTAGAACATTCCTGAGTGACTACTGTGAGACAGGGTAAATTGAAAGTTGGTTTGCCAAGTGTATCACATGTAAGTCTCTGGCTTCAGGCTTGTTGGAGGTCCATTCTTGTAGAAGGTAATTCTGTAGTCAAAGACTTCTTTGACTGATTCATTCGTTAACGTATAGTCAGCAAAATTTTATTGAGTTCCTGCTGTGTGTTATGTGCTGTTCTTGTTGTTGATGAAGCAGCCACCAAATACCAAAACCAAACCCATTTCTGTGGAGTCGATTCCGACTTATGGTGACCCTATAGGACAGAATAGGACTGCCCCATAGGGTTTCAAAGGAGCACCTGGTGGATTCGAACTGCCGATCTTTTAGTTAGCAGCTGTAGCTCTTAACCACTATGCCACCAGGGTTTCCAATGCAGCAGCACTGGTTGTTTAGTTTTCAGTGATTTCTTGGAATGCTCTATGGATAAGACCATTGGGGTTCTGAAATAGATAAAGCACAGTTTCTGCTTTCCAAGACCTTATGGCCATGACAGATTAATAAACAGATCAGGACTGTTTCAGTATAATAAAATCAGTGCCTTGATAAAGGAGGATGCTCAGTGCTTGTTCCTCTTTACCCAATCTGCTTGCTGTGCTCTGCTCTCAACCTTTAAAGATGGGTGAGAACAGTTCCCGACCATTCAGAGGGCCAGGCTTTTTCCTGTTATTTCTCACCTGTTGCTCTGTTCACATTATATGTTGTGGTCAGGGGTCTTAGGAACACTGCTAATTTTCTGTCCTTTTCAGGGGCGTCCACTGAAAGTTAGCTGAAACCTCAGGATGATTGCCCTGAATTGAGCCGTATAATTAGAGCTAGGCTTACATCTTGAGTTTGATATTCACTACCTTAGTGACCTTAGGCAAGTTCCTTAACTTCTCTGAGTCTGTCCTCTTTTGTAGATGGAGCTAACAATACCTATCTGTTAGACTGTTTAATCTTTCATTCAACAAATACTTCTTGCATGCCTAAAATGTACCAGGCACTGTTCTAGATATTAGAAACACACAGGCCTCTTATGAAGCTTATGCATTATTTAGGAGAGACAGACTTCAAACAAATACATGTTGTATTAGAAGGTAAGAGGTGTTAAGGAGAAAAAATAAAACAAGGAAGGGAATGTATTAGTTATTGATTAACCCATGGCCATTGTGTCAATTTTGAGTCATAGTGCCCATATAGGACAGAGTAGAACTGCCCCATAGGGTTTCCAAGGCTGTAATCTTTATGGGAGCAGACTGTCTCATCTTTCTCCTGTGGAGCTGCTGATGAGTTCAAACTACAAACCTTTTGCTTAGGAGCTGAGCATTTAACCACTGTGCTACCAAGGCTCCTTAGTTACCGATTGCTGTGTAACAAATTACTATAAAACTTAGTAGCCTAAAACAATAAGCATTTTTTATTTTACATAGTTTTTGAGGGTCAGGAATCTGGGAGTGGCTTAGCTGGCTTGGTTCTCATGAAGTTGTAGTAAAGCTGTTGGCCAGGGCTGCTGTCATCTGGAGGCTGAACTGGAGCTAGAGGATCCACCTTCAAGCTAATTCACATGGATGTTGTCAGGCCTCAGTTCTTTGCTGACTGTTGGCCAGAGGCCTCAGTTCCTTGCTGACTGTTGGCCAGAGGCCTCAGTTCCTTGCTGCTGATATAAAATGCTGATGACCACCATGCACCCCTATTCACGTCTTCTCCCCCTGTAGTAGTCAGTCTCTAAGAGGGCCCCCAGTGATTGCCACCTCCTGCTATAACACCCTTGTAAATTTCCCCCATATTGAAAGAAGATTGATCTATGTGATCAGTAGAGTATTGTAGAAGTGATGATACGGGCTTCTCCATAGGGCTGCCTGAGGGTCCTGACACAGCAGCTGGTTTCCCTGAGAGTGAGTGGTTCAAGAGGGGGAAAAGGAGAGAGGGAGACAGTGAACATGAAGAGTCCAAGATGGAAGCTGGAAGCTCCAGTCTTTTTTGACTTAATCTCAGAAGTGACGTATCATCACTTCTCCATTATTCTACTGCTCACATCGATCAACCTTCTTTCATTCTGGGATGGGACTGTACAAGAATGTGTATACAAGGAGACAGGGATCACTGGGGCCATCTTGGAGGCAAGCTATCATGGGGGCAAAGGAGTAGGTAGGGGTGCATGGTGGTCATTTAGCATCTTATATCAGTGATGGGGAAGATGTCACCAAGAAGGTGACGTTTGAGGAGAAACCCGAAGGAAGTAAGGTGAGCCATGTCATATCTGGGGAAAGACTATCTGAAGCAGAGGAAATAGCAAGTTCAATGATCATGAGGCAGGAGCAAGCTTGGAATGTTGGAGGAACAGAAAAGAGGTAAATGTGGCTAGAGCAGAGTGAGTGAGAGGGAGACAGTGGCAGATGTAGAGAGACAGGTAAAGGGCCCCAGATCATTGAGAGCCTCATAGGCCATTTTAAGGTTATTTATTTTTAATCTGAGTGAGGTGGGAGGTATGACATATCCAGCTTACCTTTTGAAAGATTACTGTGGTTATTATATTGAGAATACACCATAGAGGGGAAAAGGTGAAAGCAGGGAGGTAATTAGGAGGCTGTTGGAAAAGTCTGGTGTTAAAGTTAAGAGGGTAAAGAGGCAATGGATATAAAGTACCTGGCACAGTGTCTGGCACATAGTAGACAGAATATATATTGTAGTTCCATTCCCCTTAAAAATTTGTGTACCTAAAGGTACCCTTCTTTGTTCTTTCTGCAGCTCAGTAAACGCTCTGCCACTGACCTGTGCGGCCGAAATGATGGAAACCTTAAGGTGATCTTCCCTGATACCGAGATGGAGGATGTCAGTAACCCTGGGCTTAGGGTCAGAGCCCAGCCTGGGGACTATGTCCTGGTGAAGGTAAGGTGTCCTTTTGGGTTTTTGGTTTGTACTGTGAAAATGAATGTTGGATAATTTGGGAGACAAAATTTTTTCCTGGAGAAGTTCTTTAGTAAGATAAAATCCCTTCTCAGTGGTTTTCTCAACTTGTACAACAGAAGGGCACCTTGGATTGGATTTTAGACTGCTCCTAACTAATGCCCTTTTATTTTTCTTTTTCTCTCTCCTGCCCTGGAAGTCTTCTTTGAGGGAACTTGGTGAAGTTGGAGTGTAGCATGTAGTTTCTGCTGCAGAGAGGCCAGGAAGTGTAGGTGATTTTGAGTTAATTGACAGTGGCCTCTGTCAGAGATCAGCATACTGTTTGTGATCTCTGAGGCCCCAGGCACCCCTAACTTACCTCAAGTTCCCTGGGTCCCATTCCTAGAATAGGAGGTCTAGCTGCATGGCTATGGGATTTCCCCTTCCTTCTCTTTCACTGAGGGTATTCTTCCTTTCTTCCATCCTTCTGTTTCTTCCTTCATCCTTCTATCTCTTTTCACACTGTTACACGTCTAGTACTGCCATCTTCCTTTTTTTCTGATCCTTATGTCCATTTTGCCCTGGAACCAGAAGTTAGCAGGGCCTACTAATGAGGTAGCCAGAAGCACAGATATTTCTCCAACACTGAGGACATTTGCAAAAGAGAGAGAGATGAGAGGGTGATGAATTTTCCACTGATGATCAGTGTTACCTCCTACTCCTCATTCCTTAAAGCCTCACCCTCTACTTTGCTTTCCTGTCCTTGTTTCTGTCACCTCGATCTTGAGTTATGGAAGTCATGGCCCATTGCTTGCATCTGAGGGAGGCTCATTCCCCTAGCATGTAACTTCTGTGGACTGGTGTGATCTAAGGTCTAAAATTAAGGCCCAATATTATGTGCTACCTTGCAATCTGGTGAAATTGGGAGGGCCTACAATGGCCTAACTGCAAGTTCTGCTCCCTATTCTGTTCCCATGGGTAAGTTCTCCAGCCAAACAACCCTTCTATCAAGGAGACCAGGCATAGTTCCTACTTATCCCTGCATAGCAGGTTTCACTTCACTGCTAGTCCATGGAATTATTCAAACAAGGCAGTTACATCCTCCTGTGGGAGCCAGGGAGCACTATACCTCTTGACACTACAAAGTTTGCCTCCCACAGCCGCTGGTTGTTCACTCTGTTCCTGAGTGCAACCTCCATGTTGCCCTGCATGGCATGTGGTGTCTTCCTCCCCCAGGCTGTGAGTGTATATGACTAATAAACTGCTCTTGATCTCATCTGTCCTGTGTTGGGTGTCAGGTGTCATGTGTTATAAGAATCCCTCCCTCACCAAAAGGGTGAATTGGAGGCAATTAGATCAACTGGCCTGGAAATTTTACCACCCCTCAGAACTTTTCTGTTCCTGTGGGAACTATCGTCTGTGTTCTATCCATCTGACAGAATGTAGAACACAACCAGTTCATTGACTGGGGACTTCATGACCCAGTGCCTTCTGTCCTTGACCTGACTGGGGATTATCTTACTTAAACATTACCTAGGAATTTCCTTACCGGAGTGATTCCTGTTAGTCGGCAGTGTTGTTGATCTGGAAGCAACCTCTCGCGTGCTTCTCCATTTGCTCATTTTTTAAAAAATCATTGTGACATTATCTTGTTTCCTTATTTCTTTGTCTTCTGAAGATTCGCTTCTTTGCTTATTAATTGTTCTCCCATACCTTCTCCTGCTGTCACTCACTGCACCTAAGGGTTTCTTGACAAAAGGGGTTAGGTTGGTTGGTCGAGTTGTGTTAGTATGGTATTTTCTTGTGAAATGGAGAAGTTCCATTTGGGAAGAAAGATAGAAAGGTGATGCTGTGTTCCTTAGTACTCTTTGTTCCCGAGTGGCATATACCCCACAAGTGAGACTTGGTGGAAGGATAGGTGTGAAGGAAGAGCTGTGAACAGGCGCCTGTTGCTGCTCTCCCTCTGTTGCTCATCTTTGCTGCTTGCTTGTTCTCCTAGCTTACAGTCTCTGGGCTGCATTAGAACCACTCCCGGGTCCTCACTTGATCATCACCCCTTCCTCTGTGGTGCTTGTTTGACTAAATCTCAACCCTGGTGAAACCAGTTACCTGCTTACTTTGTTTCTGCACCCAAGCAGCTGAACATTGCTAGGGAAGAAGCGTAGTTAAGCTGTATTGCACAGATTCGATTACATAGTGGTGTTAAAAAACTCAATGTAGTGGCTTAAATAAGATAGGCGTTCTCTGACATAAAAATCTGGACTGATCATTGTGATGGCTCCATGATCATTAGGGGTCCAGACTCCTTCTCTCTTTTGCTCTTCTGTGTGTGGTCTCTATTTCCAAGGTCACTTCATGATCCAAGACAGCTGCTCTAGCTCCAGCCATCATGCCCATATATATTCTGGCTAGCACAAAGGAGAAAAAACGGAAGAGAAGGGCATGTTCTTTCCCATTCAGGACACTTCCCAGAAGTTACACACACCATTTCCTCCATAGTAACACACCATGTCAGGCTGCAAAACAGCAGAAATGTGGTCTTTGTTCTGAATGACCCTGTGCCCAGCTAAAATTGGGATTTCTGTTACAAAGGAAGAGGAGGAGAAATGTTGGGGAACAAGTAACAGTCTCTGCCACATGAGCTGACTGCATTCACTTCACATTCATGACCATAAAACTCAAATGGGCATGCACCATGGCCCTGAAATCCTGTTCCTACTATATTTCCCAAGAAAATTGACTTTCCCACTCTCTCCTTAAATCTCCATCGATCTACTTAGCTCCTATTCTCAGCTGATGTCTTTGCTTCATACTTAATAGAGAAAATAGGTACGATCAAATAAAACGCATTGTCTCACCATTATTTCTACCAGCTCACTCACATCTCCACCCACATATGCTGTCTTCTCTCTTGGGACTGTGTAAGAAGCATCCGCATCTTTTAATGTCAGCACTGTCCCTTGTGCCTTCAATTCTGTCCCTTCTCATCCTCTTAAGAGATTTCTTTTTATCTGCCTTCTTGCTTGCATCTTTTTTTTTTTTTTTAATTTTATTTATTTTGTTGTGGTTGTTGAGAATATACACAGCAAAACAACACCAATTCAACAGTTTCTACATGTATAATTCAGTGACATTGGTTACATTCTTTGAGTTGTACAACCATTTTCACCCTCCTCTTCTGAGTTGTCGCCCCCATTAACAAACTCACTGCCCCCTAAGGATCCTGTCTAATCTTTTGAGTTGCTGTTGTCAATTTGATTCCATGTAGATAGTTCTTAAAAGAGCATAATGCTCAAGGCAGACAGGTTTTTACTAGTTAAGCTAAATAATTGTTCGGTTTTAAGAAGACTTCAGGGGATACTTTTCCTTAAAGTTTAAAGATGATCTCAGGGCAGTAGTTTCAGGGGTTCATCCAGCCTCAGTGGCTCCAGAAAGTCTGGATTCCATGATAATTTGATCTTCTGTTCTGCAAATTCCACCTTTTGATCAGAATTCTTCTGTAGAATCTTTGATCAAAATGTTCGGTAATGGTAGCTGGGCACCATCCAGTTCTTCTGGTCTCATGGCAAAGGAAGCAGTTGTTCATGGAGTCATCTGACTGCCTTCTTTTTAACTCTCTGGTTCTCTCTCAAGTGTCACCTACTTGGTGAAACCTTTTCTGTCCACTGTAGTGCTAACACACCTTCTCCACCTCGCTCCAGTCACTGTTTACCACATTAACCCATTTTATCTTCATTGCCTGAAACCATCTTTATTTGTTTGTTTACGTATTTATTGTCTGTCTTTTCCTAGTGATTCATAAGCTTCTTTGAGGGCAGGGAAAATTATCTGTTTTGTTAAACTCTGTCTCCAGCACCTAGAACAGTGCTTAACACATAATAAGCACTCAATATATTTATTAATGGACTGACTTGCTGTCATGGTAAGAGATCTGAGCACTGGAAACTTTGGGGTCACATTCTTTTAGCTTCCAATTAGATTGGAAAGAGAACATTTCTCACTACATTTTGGCTGTAACTATCCTAAGGAAACATTTGACTGGCCCAGCCTGGGTCACTGCTTACCTCTGGGCTCGGGAGGGTAAGGTCTGTGATGGACACTTTATACCTGAACCTTATGGTTGGAGCTGGGGCACAGCTATTTTCCAAGAGAAGAGGGCAGGTGGCTGTTTGGGGACTGACCCGTTTTTGATGACTTAAATTGTATTCATTGCCATTGCATCCCTTTCTCCCAGAACTGGGGGCTGACAGAAACCATACAGCCTCTACCAGCCTGTTGTCTCCATCAGATTCCTTTTGGTGGCCTCTCCTCCAGGGGCTCAACATTCAGTCCCTGTGTTGCAGTCCTGCTTACCTTGCCTCCTTCTGACTGGTTTTCCTTCAGATCACCTCCGCCAGCTCTCAATCACTGAAGGGACATGTTCTCTGCAGGACCACTCTGAAGGACTCCTCAGCATATTGCTCACCTGGGTGGATGGCCACTCAGAGTTGACTTGGGCAGTTCTTCCCAACAAGAAGGAAGATTGACTGGTCACTGATGAAAGAGGTAATTAATGAAGCTTTGGAGACAAGCTGCAAATGGTGAAACAACTTCATGTCAAATGGAAAACGCATCTCCTTGCTGCTCTGTGAACAGCCTTTAAATCATTAAATTTACCTAAACTAAAGTGGTCCCTTTTGTTTCTCTTCTGGTACTTCATTTTTGTCTTGGTTAGTGTTAGTCTGGAATTTTCCCTGTAGTCTCTGCATTGTGTTTCCCGACCCAGATTCAGCTGTGGACACTGCTAATCTGTTTTTACCCCTGGGCCTGAGGATCTAGAGACTGGAGGAGGGAATGATGGGAAGAGAACCATTTGCTTGGGAAAAACTGCTCTAGATCTTTCTGACATTTTGGTTTGACACCATTGACTCATCTGCCTATCTCCTCACTTTATTCTCTGTATCTTACCTGAGGATATTCCTCATGGACCCTTTATTTAGCCTGTCAGTTTATTCTTTGCCTTCAGGTCTGGAAGCACTTGGGTTTTTGGAAAACGTCATTACCCACCAGTAGCCTCAGAACAGTGTTCTTGGCTAATTTTCCAGCTGGATTATTTCTTTCTGTCAGTGTCATTAAAAAATCCAAGAGATGGTACTATGGAATATTTAAAGTCAAAAGAACTTTGGGTCAAGTCCCTACTCCATTGCTTAAGAGCTGTGTGATCTTTAGCAAGTTACTTTATTCTTCTAAGCCTTGGCTTTCTCATGTGGGACAAGACAGAAATACTGAAATACTTATACATTGCTTTTGATGTTCAGTGAAGTTATGCTTGTAAAGAGCTTAGCACAGTCCATGGCATTTTTTATTAAAAGTGAGTGATCACTGAAAGATTTTACCTCTAAAAGAGACTGCATTTATTAGGATATTGTATGTTTGGCTATGATCTTCTTTAGGCCTTTCATCAACCTGCATGGCAGCGTTTGGGAACCCCAGTCTGGGAACCTCTTCCTCAGGTGCTGGTTACACTGGGAAGATTGGTTCCTACTCTAAGGGCCTATCTTCTGTTGAGAAGAAAATTTGTTATGGCTCTTTACCCCAGTTCTTCATTCAAAAGATACTTTTTAAAAAATTTTGAAATTTTACTTTACTTTTTATAAGAAAGTGAAACATACATTGGCAAATAATTCAGACAATACAGTAGGTACCTGCAATCAGTTCATTTCCTTCCTGCCACTTTTCTGTAATTGCCTAGTTTCCTTTTACAAAGACCAGCACTTTGTATATACAGTGATTTGTGTGAGTGTATATCCTTCACAAATGTTTGCACACTGTACATACTATTTATTAGAAAAAGTTATTGAGGTAGTGTCGTAGGCTGGGTTCTCTAGAGAAGTAAACCCAGGGAAGCATATAGAGAGAGAGAAAAAAAGAAAGATTTATCTCAAGGAAATGGCTGATGCAGTTGTAGAATTGGCAAGTCCCAAGTCCGTGGGTCAGACGTTAGGCTGGAGGCTTCTTCTGACTCACCTAGCTGCAGGGGCTGACAGACCCAAGATCAGCAGGTCAGAGGGTAGGTTGCTGGCTCATGGACTGCAGAGGCTAATGAATCCCTTGACTGACAGGCAGTATGGCAGGCAGCTGACTCAAGTCTCCAGCACTGGAGGTCAGCTGATGATGAGTCATATCTGGATGTAGGATTCATAGCAAGCAAACGAGCTTTGCCAGAATGTTCACATGTATATCGGATGCAGGCCACTCCCCTGAGGAAACTCACCTTACAACTGATTGGCTGATCACATCAGAGGACATTGTGGAGGATGACTACATCGTTACCTAACTGCCAAACCACCGCGAATCATGGCCCAGCCAAGTTGACACACAACCTTAACCATCATAGTCCACCCCTTGTCAAGTTGGCACCTGTACAGATCTCCTTAAACCATATACAATCTCTAAGTAAAGACAGTTACAAAGTCATACTTGCGCTGAACATGATACAACTAACATGCGTTTAACCGAAAACGCACTAGGTCCGTTTATATCTTATATTTTATAAATGAAGAAAACAAAAATATTTGATGCACACATACAAGGAAGAAATACTCATAACAATTACAGTCCTTGTTTTGCAACTGGTCACGTGATTGTAACTGGTATTTATAACTACCTTCTTCTATCATTCCATATTTCCTTTACCCTCAGCAAACACTTAAGCTGATCGTGGTTCTTTGCCTGGTGGGATGACCCAACCTTCATTCCTGAAGGGTCTGGGCCATTAGTAGTCATACTGGAATTAGGTTGCTGTTGTTTTCCATTGACTTTAATCACAGGTCATAGTAGTACTAAAAGATGCTCTAAGGGATCTTCTGCATTTCAGACATACTCTTTTCTACCTACATTATGCAACATCAATTCAATTTTCCCTTGATAGTGACGGTCATTCACACCAGCCAGTATGGTAACTCCCTTCTTTGCTGTTGATCCAGAGGCATGAGGAGCCCAAAGTGGCTGGATGTCATTCTTCACTTCAGTTAAATGGTATCTGTGTTGTGTCCCCAAATGGGAGCATACTTCCTTTTGGAACTAAGACCTCCAGATCCGCAGAGCATATTGTCTTGGGGACAGGAAGGAAAAATTTTGCGAGTGGGTCCCTAGGGCAATAGTGAGTGGTGTTACTCCATTTCTACCCATTGATTCCTGGAACCATGAATCCTGGCTATGGGAGAAACAGCACCATATATTGGATGCTGGTTTAGAGCATATACAGTGTCCTGGAGAACATCGCCCCAACCCTGCAAGGTATTGCCACCTAGCTGGCACCGTAATTGTGTCTTTAAAGGCCATACCATTGTTCTATCAAGCCAGCTGCCTCAGGATGATTGGGAACATGGTAAGACCAGTGAATTCCATGTGCATGGGCTCGTTGCCAGACTTCATTTGTTGTGAAGTGAGTGCCTTGATCTGAGGTGATGCTGTGTGGCATACCGTGACGGTGGATAAAGCATTCTGTTAGTCCATGGATGGTAGTTTTGGGAGAAGCATTGCATGCAGAGAAGGCAAATCCATACCCAGAGTGAGTGTCTACCCTAGTAAGAAAGAAATGCTGCCCTGTCCACGTTGGAAGTGATCCAGTGTAATCAGCCTGCCACCAGGTTGCTGGCTGTTCACCTCTGGGGATGGTGCATATCAGGGACTCAGTGTTGGTCTCTGCTGCTGGCAGTTTGGCACTTAGCAGTGGCTGTAGCCAGATCAGCGTTGGTGAGTAGAAGTCCATGTTACTGAGCCCATGCGTAACCTCTATCCCTGCCACCATGGCCACTTTGTTCATGAGCCCATTGGGCAATGATGGGAGTGGCTGGGGAAACAGGATGACTGGTTTCCACAGAATGCATTATCATATCTACCTGATTGTTAAAATTTGCTTCTGCTGAGGTCACCTGTTGGTGAGCATTTACATGAGACACAAATATCTTCACTTCTTTGGCCCATTCACAGAGGTCTGTCCACATGTCTTGTCCCCATACCTCCTTGTCACCAATTTTCCAATCATGTTCCTTCCCACTCCCTGACCATCAAGCAAAACCATTGCCACAGCCCATGAATCAGTATACAATTTCGTATCTGGCCATTTCTCCTTACAAGCAAAGTGAACAACCAGGTGCACTGCTTGAAGTTCTGTTCATTTGAAGGATTTTCCTTCACCAACGTCCTTCAGGGAGGTCCCGGAAAGGGGCTGCAGTGATTTTGAATGTTGCCTTCATATCACACAGAACCATCCGTAAACCAGGCACAAGCTTTCTCTTCTGCAGCCAACTGATCATAAGGAACTCCTCATGAGGCCATAGGTGCAGACTGGGAGAGGGCAGGTAATGTGACAGGAGTGGAGACCATGGGCATTTGGGCCACTTCCTCATGCAACTTACTTGTGCCTGCAGGTCCTACTCGATCCTGATCTCATATATACCACTTCCATGTAATGATGGAGTGCTGCTTTGCACGTCCAACTTTATGACTCTGTGGATCAGACAACACCCAGTTCATGATGGGCAGCTCAGGCTGCGTGGTGACTTGGTGGCCCATGGTTAGGCATTCAATCTCTACTAGAGCCCAGTTCCCCCAAGTGTCAGTTTGTCATACTGTGGAGTCTTGCGTGTTGCTGTGATGCTGGAAGCTATGTCACTGGTATTCAGATACCAGCAGGGCCACCCATGACGGACAGGTTACAGCTAAGCTTCCAGACTAAGACAGACTAGGAAGAAGCACCCAGAAGTCTATTTCTGAAAATAATTAGCCAGTAAAAACCTTACAAATAGCAGTGGAACATTGGCTGATATAGTGCCAGAAGATGAGCCCCTCAGGTTGGAAGACACTCAAAGACGAGTGGGGAGGAGTTGCCTCCTCAAAGTAGAGTCAACCTTAATGACGTGGTTGGAGTCAAGCTTTCGGGACCTTCGTTTGCTGATGTGGCAGGACTCAAAATGAGAAGAAACAGCTGCAAACATCCATTAATAATTGGAACTTGGAATGTATGAAGTATGAATCTAGGAAAATTGGAAATTGTCAAAAATGAAATGGAATGCATAAATATCGATGTCCTAGGCGTTAGAGAGCTGAAATGGACTGGTATTGGCCATTTTGAATCAGACAACCATATGGTCTACTATGCCAGGAATGACAACTTGAAGAGGAATGGTGTTGCATTCATCATCAAAAAGAACATTTCAGGATCTATCCTGAAGTACGACGCTGTCAGTGATAGGATAATATCCGTACGCTTACAAGGAAGACCAGTTAATACGACCATCATTCAAATTTACGCACCAACCACTAGGGCCAAAGATGAAGAAATTGAAGATTTTTACCAACTTCTTCAGTCTGAAATTGATCAAACATGCAATCAGGATGCATTGATAATTACTGGTAATTGGAATGCGAAAGTTGCAAACAAAGAAGAAGGATCGGTAGTTGGAAAATACGGCCTTGGTGACAGAAATGATGCCGGAGATCACATGATAGAATTTTGCAAGACCAATGACTTCTTAATTGCAAATACCTTTTTTCACCGACATAAACGGTGACTATCCACATGGACCTCGCCAGATGGAATACACAGGAATCAAATCGACTACATCTGTGGAAAGAGAGGATGGAAAAGCTCAATATCATCGGTCAGAACAAGGCCAGGGGCT